GTAAAGACATCAAGCAACTATAAAAAAAAAAATTATATTGATATGTCATTTTTGAAAAAGTTATGGCAGTTTTTAGTAAAAAAAATTGAAAAAATTTCGAAAATTAGCGATTTTTAAATTTATAATTTTTTTGGAGATTTCCCCCATTTACGAGGAACGAGGGAAATTTTTTCAATTTTTGAAGGTAATGTCTTCTGCTAGATACGATTTGTGATCTTTTGACGTATCGTTGAAAGAAATCGGTTCGGTGATAGCTGAGTAAAAGCGTAACAGACAAAAAAAAAATAAACACATAGTAAAACCAACCAATACCTTCTCAGTTTCGTATCGAAGCTAAAATTATTTAATTTTTTTTACAGCAACCTATTTAGATATTAGATTTCAAAGTACTTTATCATAAGATAATAAAATTGAAGCAATATTTCATATATTAAAAACTTGAATTACTATGGAAAACCTGACTTCACAAGATTCAGAAATAAATGAAAACAATATATCTGACATAGAAACAAACAATTTTATAAATGTTGATGCTTGAACAGTTTTTAAAATCACAATCATTCTTAGATAATAAGAAAAGGACGGATAAACCGTTAAGAAACAACCCATAAATTACTACTTAAATTAGGGTGATATATCTTATTTTGATTTTGATTCTATATTTAAATTTTTATAATATTATGTATAATAATTATTCTCTTATATATCTGATACATAGTTGCATATTTGGTTAAATTTTTGGGTAGGGCTAGAATAATTGTTAGCAAAATGACCTGCTAATTATTTTCCTTAATTATTTTAAATGCATCAAAAAGGTAAAAATATGCAAAAAAGAAAAATTGAATTAAAAAAATATGTTAACTTTTATTTTATAATTTTTTTGCATTTTTAGTTTAATAGTTCATGAAATACCACCATAATCATTAAAATTTAGTATATATAATTAAAAAAGAAAATTCTATTAAGTATAATTCTTTATTAATTAAGAACTAATAATTCGTGAAAACCGACTTAGTTATCTATATATATATATACTTTTTTTTCATTTAACTTACCAAAACAAAAATCCCATAAATAAGAATTTTCAAGGGACCAACAAAATAATTTGTATTATCTATAGAGAATTATAATCTTCTAAGTTGCCAAGAGATAAGATATCAAAACTCTATAGTCATTATAAATACATTTCTGGATCTTATTATATAACCTTTACCCTTGAAATTACTCTCTAGTAGAAAAATCTATTAATACAAAAGTAAAACAGAAATGACATATGGTTGTGTTATAATCATAAGACAGAAGATTATTAATGGTGAACATAAGCATTGTTTATTTTAAGGAGCCCTATTTACATGTTGTAAAATTAATTCAAATTATTAATCTGCTTTGAATACTTTATATTAGTAAAATAAAGGAAACTTCGAATAATTAACACGATAGAACTGAAACACAAAACAATATTTAACACTAAATGTTTGTCAGTTGTGCTGAATACCACTAGAACAATATTAATATTCTATTTCGATCAAAAAATGAACCGATGAGTGAATAAACTTTAAATTACAGAGCTTTATTTTACACAACATAATTTGTTTTTATTTAAAATTATTGATACAGTATACTTTATTAACTATTTTTAAATTAAAGATTTTATTATAGTTGATAGAATANATACTTTATTAACTATTTTTAAATTAAAGATTTTATTATAGTTGATAGAATAAATCAAATATATCTACTGATAAAGTATGTCACACCTAAAAATACAGTAGATCAAAAGAATGCACATTTTAGAGTATTATTCATTTATCATAACTAATTTAGAACATCAAATTATAAAATTAATTATATTTATTTTGAATAAAATTACAACTTAAAAGTTGTCAATATATTTATTTATATAAAAACAGCACGGAATCAGGAATATAATTATAAGGGAAGTGATATGTAGATACATTATCCAGAACTATAATAATTACATCGAATTGGTTTACTTTTTTTTTCATTTATAACAGTGAACATTTTTCATATGCATATTCACCCAATGGACAAAATCCTTCCATGCCAAGTTCTTACCACTGAATGATAAAATAATGATATAATAAGTTAAGAACAAAGTGTTGTATTAAAAATATTGATCTCTCAAAAAACTTTCTTTTTAAATGTTAGATATTATAAAACAGGTCTATTCAAAGGAAACGTCTAAGAATGTTGTCAAGTGTTTCATTGTAAATTTATTTATTTATTTTATCATGATGATATATTCAGTTCTTCAATATAAAATATGAAATATTTTTAATAATCACCATGATTTATAATAATATTATGAAATAAAAGAAAGTGTTTTATTCCCCTCTTTAACAAAACACAAAATTGAATAATATTAGAAATGTAATTTGTAACCTAACATTATAAATTTTTAAAATTATATTGTAAATATTTATCCACCATTTTAGATAAAATATTTATTCAAAAATAAAAACTAAATTATTTTATATTACAACGATAGAAAACCATATTAGAGGAAATACAATAAAATAATGATTTGATAGTAAAAAAGAAAAACTTTGAATTATGCATAATACAACATTACAATATATTCATACATTTTATAGTTATATATTTGAATGCACCACAAAAAGAGTATAATACATTCTAATTAAGGTGTAGTTAGATAATATATATTTTATATAAATTGTGCATTTGTTTTTTTATTGTAATTTTTATAAAGGTTATCTTATATAGTAACAAATATTTATGGCCAATAACACTGTAGTCATAAATAACACAGTTTTGGAATAATATTTGATATAATTTTATTAAAAATTATTTAAAATTGCCAAAAGTTTATTGATTATAAGTAATATAGTATATTTGATGTAGTAGTAACAAAATATTTATAATCATAAATAGATTTATTTTCAAATTTCAAGCTAAAGTTACAGTAATATGGTACAATTGTATATAATTTAGGGATTTTATAAATCAAATTAATTTTTAGCCAATGAGAAAATTATACTTCTACTTAAAACGAAAACGTAATTTATACAATAACAAAATAAATAACATGTTGCGAAATTAGATTTTACTAAGTGTATTATTTTTAGTGTAATAATTGTACTAAGTTGTTTTTGATATGTTCAATAAATTACTTATCAAATATATAAATTTATAACAATTGTAATGTTGTAAAATTTGTATTAATTTGTTTTTATTTAAATCTTATCAGTTAGTGGTGTGTGCATTAGGCGTAAAGTATTTCTTGATAGTTGTGTATGTAGAACCTCCATCAGTCAACCGGTCCGATATCTGTTATCCTATTGTCAT